GATTCATTCTCGTTTCATCGTTGAGAGAGAGAGAGAGAGAGAGAGAGAGAGAGAGAGAGAGAGAGAGAGAGAGAGAGAGGATGCCCTCTCTCTCTCTCTCTCTCTCTCTCTCTTTCGTTCTTCCCCCCTTCCCCCGGCCCGCCGCGCTCCTTACTTTTACGTTGCTACTTTACATTTCAAAGCCGTTTTTTTTTGTTTTTTTTTTGCGCCTGTTTTTTTGGGACTGCCGGTCGCGGGCTCGTTAACGGCCGTGTCGGATTTTCCAAGCAGGGCGAGGTACTGGTGGTTTAATCGTGTCCAAACAGGGCGAGGTACTAGTGGTTTAATCGTGTCCAAACAGGGCGAGGTACTGGTGGTTTAATCGTGAGAGGTAGCTATGCTTGCAGGGGTCCCCTGATGGCAGCCCTAAGGCTGCAGTATAGTGGGCTTCGGTGTCTGCGTCAAGGTGTCGCATTTTCGGCGGCGGGCGACCAGGACGCAAAGTGGGTTTTTGGGGGCAAAAGTTTGGGGGGGACCGGTCCTTGGCGAAATTGGGGACTACCTACAGGCAGCTCTGGAACGACCAGGACTTTTGGAAAAAGCAAGGACCGGTCCTCGGGTGGAAGTGGACCCCAAAAAGAAGTGGGGGTAAAATAAGGGCCCTCAGGCCCAGGCATTGAGGCCCGTCTTCTCAAAACAGGGAGGTCAGGCGCAACGAAACAGGCGTTTTGCAAGAGGCACCTTTGGCGATTTTCTGTGCTCGGAGGAACCCGCAGAAAAATCTGAAATTTTGAGCATCCATATATGAGGTTGTGTTCTTTCTAGGAAAAATATTAGAACATTTTTTTAAAATAATTTAGACCAAGAAATAATCGTCGCGCCGATTGGGCACATTTTCCATTTTTGCCACTCAGCCATGTGTGGGCCAACTTAAAAAGTACTCCAAATTCAGTGAGTTTTCATATGAGAAGAATGCATGAAAAAACCTGAAAATTGGAGTACTCATAGATTTTGTTGTGATCTTTCCAGGAAAAACGCTAAATAAATTTTAAAAAATCATTCCAACTGCGAAATAGATCGCGGCTGCAATTTGACCCATATTTCAATTTTGCCATTCAGCCTCTCTTTCTCTCTCTCTCTATCTATCTCTCTATCTATCTATCTATCTGGTAGGCCCGCCTCTCTCTCTCTCTCTCTCTCTCTCTCTCTCTCTCTCTCTCTCTGGTACCCCCCCCCTCCCTCTCTCTCTGTTTTTTTTTTTTTTAAGGCTAATTCTTTAAGCCCAACCAATTCAATTACCTGTCAAATCTGGACAGGACAGCCTTTCAGGCCTTCTTTTAATTGTCATTATAGTATTACGGGGAACCCTGTAGCAGCCACATCCGTGCTCAAGCCTCCAACGAGGGAACATGCGGGAGCTGCACCCACCAGCAGGTGCGATACCTGCTACAGCAGGTGGGCGATACCGGCCAGGGGTGAGCCGGTAGCATCAGGACCGAGCTTCTTCGATGGGCCAGTCACTGTGCCTCCCCTCCGGTCCCCTGCCCATATGAACATCAGCAGTCTCCGCTCAATGCCACTCGGGGGGACCAACGGCATATCGCTAGGTGGCGGGCGCCAAGCTTGCCCAGGAACGTACATGAGGCCAATGGGGATTGAACCCAAGACCTCCTGAATGCCACTTGCGTGCCTTACCAACTGAGCTAGGCCGCTGCTGCGTTTCTTTTTCGTTCTCTCTCTCACTCTGTCTCTCTCTCATACTCATAACAATAAATGGAACAAAACACTCTCTCTCTCTCTCTCTCTCTCTCTCTCTCTTGTGCAAGCTCTTAGTCTCATTGATAGTCTCATTGATTTGGCTACCTTAGGGCTGCGTTCCCCAGACAATATAGCCTTAGAAAGGTGAAATTGAGAGAAGCAAAAAAAAAAAAAAAAAATTGTAAACGCGAGAACTCCACGGTGTCATTTCTGTCCTTCACCATTTCTGGGCCTGAAGGCATCTTGATGCATGAGCTGCAGGTGTCATTTCTGTCCTTCACCATTTCTGGGCCGTACGCCAGGTGCCGAAGTGTGTGTTCCGATCGGATTTTTTTTGGCCCTCCCAACGTAAAGGGGTTATTTCTGTCCTTCGCCCTTTCTGGGTCTCCCTGTGTCTTTTTTTGGGGGGGTCTCTCTGTTACCCCGGTACCCTGCGCCGATACAGTAGGCCGACGGGTTGGCGCCGACCAGGCGGCTCGTCTTTCCTTAGGCCGGGAAGGTCTGTCTATCATGGGACCTCATCAGCACGAAGATCGGTACAGCTGGCGGAAGCGCGCGAGATAGCCGTTCCCCCCCAAGCGGAGGTAGGTACTGAATTGGCTCATGTGGCAACACTTTCGGGCACAAGAGAGCGATATGGAAAGTTTTTCTTTACAAATCTGTGCTTTTTTTTTCTTCTGTGAACTACCTAGGCGTCGTTTTGTCTTTTTCTTTTTCTTTTTCTGAAGTGCATAAAAGTTTTTTTTGTCGTCGAATTATGTTTTGAATGTGTGTGTTGTCGTCATGTTCGCCATGCGCAGCTCAACTGTGTCGTGAATGTGTGTGTGTTGCGTGTATGAGAGAGAGAGAGAGAGAGAGAGAGAGAGAGAGAGAGAGAGAGAGAGAGAGAGAGCACGGACATACGCGCAGGACCTCCTGCTGAGAATGTGAAAATGAGAGAGAGAGAGAGAGAGAGAGAGAGAGAGAGAGAGAGAGAGAGAGAGAGAGAGAGAGAGAGAGAGAGAGAGAG